GGCGCAGGAGTCCGCCCCTGTAAGGTGTTCCGCGGGGGGACTTGGGCACTGAGCTCCTGCGGGCGTTGTGAGTAGCTGCAGCCTGTGAGGTGGTGTGCTCACAGGTGGGACCGAAATGTATCGGTCTTTGGGCTCTGACGCTGCTTTTAAGTTGAAGTCGCAGGTGCAGAGCTGTGCTTTGTCCATGTCCTCAATCACACCCCAGTCCCGCTGTCCCGAAGGGGCAAACGGCCGCAGAAACTCAAGCCTCGAGAGCTGCATGAACGCCTTCCAAGGACGGCGCTGGGAACTCGGTACAGAACCTCACGTTGTGCCCCAGCTCCCTGACTGCCAGGTGACTGAATGGCGTTAAACGCTGCCAAGTCTTCCTCTGCTAGGTATTTGATAATCAGATAAAAATACAGGGGTGAATGACGGGAGAAACAAAAGAGCACAGAACTAGTGGAGAAGAAACTGAAAGGTGGTGGTGTCCCAGGGCATCTCTTCTGAAGTCTGGGCTTTGTGTACGTTTGCAGCTGTACACCAGGACTGGGAGGAAATCTGAAAGCAAATGTTCCTTTTCAATGGGGATTTTGTAAAAAGCATGAATCATACTTGCAAATCTTCTGTGCTGTCTGGACACAGAAGAGTGGGGAAACGGCCAGAATGATGTTAGCAGAAGTTCATAGGAATTACTGGTAAGGATAGAAACTGAACTGCAGATGAAGAATTTCGATATGTGAATGTTTGAGCATGAACTATCAGAAGCTAGAAGCTAAGCTTCAGAAATTAATGCCAAATTCAGCCCAACTATAAGTAGTTTTGACTAAAACTGAAGGAAAATATAGCACATATTAAACATTCAATTTTAGCTGAGTAAATTGTCAAGCTTTGTGCTTCGTACCACACCGAAGGACCTGCTCTTCCTAGCAGCATGCTGAACATGTCACTGCACCATGTTCCACATCATCTCCTTTGATCAGAGAAAGTGTGTGCTATGAAGCCCAAAAAGGATTTACTGTTCTGCTGGAAAATGATAGATAGATGTGTTTGTGCACATGTTTGCACACATATGAAGACAATAAGCCAAAATTGAAGAAATATGTCTTGTCCATGGGAATACGGGGATGTTTCAATGCCCCTATGTGCCCTGGGGATTTTGCTCTGTAGCTGTGGAATGTGAAAAACCAGGCAAGAATTTCCTATCTCTGTCACAGACACCAGGAAGTCTTTCCTGCATCTTTAGGCAAGGCTTTATAGTGAGCTGAGGTCTGAGACCTGTATGCAATGGGAGCTTTTGTGGAAAGCTGCTATTAGTGCTGGAGCAGAAGCCTGGAAAGTCGGGGGTGTTGCTGAAAAAGATCAATTCTTTGTCCTCTGGTTCTTTCCTGAGCTCATCAGGTTTTATGCCCTGCATATCTTGCATTTCTCAGCCAAGGAAAAGATTGAAACAGTAGCGATCCCAAAGGAGCTTACTGCTTTCACTCTGCTTGTATTGATCCCAATTTCCTATTTTCTTTCTTATAACACAAGAGAAAGCCATGTTGTGTTTTAGCCTGGAATCCCAGAAGACCAAGATTGTTTATCGTTGCCTTTCTGTGTATTCTTGGGCCCCCGCACAAGGATAGAGCTGGCACAGAGCAGGAGCAGAAGTGGCATGTTACAAAGAAGATGCTGAAGCATTACACTCACAAAATGTCTATTAGTTATTTTTATTTACTCCCTTGATTTATATTACACAGAGTTAATATCAGGTCATAGGAACCAGCGAGACTTGATGGGCAGAGGTGACCAATGGAAATTTTAGGAGGGAATTATATATGTTTTTCTGTTAGCACAAATATATTGGTGGGTCTTTAGGTGACTTACAAATGATGCTAAATGAATAGTAGTTTATATTTCCAGGTGTATTAATTTTAATGCGATTATCTTGGAGTTGATGCTTGGTGACAAGATGTATTTGTTACTAGCAGCCTTCTCTTAACATGTTTTCAGCAGGGGATAGATTTTGAGAGCTTTGAGGACAGAAGTGCTTTGCACTGAACTTTGAGTGTCATGCAGACATCTTGACGATGTAAGAAGAAGCCACAAGTGTCTCATTTCTGAGGTTGTAGGGTATTTTTCTTTTTTTTTTTTTCTTTTTTTCTGAAGTATATTGTGGTGTATAGAGAAAGTTAACCTTGTGTAGTTCCATTGCTAAGTACTCACAGCATTAAGCGATGACATTTCTGTATGCAGAATGCCAGCATCTAAGGACACTGTATATATGCAAAACCTGTGCTGCAGGGTTGTATTTAGAAATGTCCTTGATGCAGGGATGGTAGATGCAACAGGTGAAGATATTAAACTCTAGCAATTTAATATTAACTAGATACAAAACTGCTGAGTTTAAACTATTAGTCTGATAGCTATCTAATGCATGAATAAAAATTAGGCACATTTATTCTTACTCTTAAAAGCCTGATTCAGCAGGGAATTACTTTAAGTACTTTAGTAATCCCATTTGCTTCAGTGGTACAGCACATGAGCTTTAAATTAAACATCTGTAAAATATCTGCTCTCAAATAAAGCAAAGCTCTGAAGAATGTTCTTAAGTGCTTTGCAGAACAGAAGCAGGATGCTGAACTAATGAGCAATACGCGTTATATGGGGTGAGTCTACAACAGGAGGAGAGGCAGAAAGAAGCAGAGGTGGTAGAGAATCTGCAAGGTAGGAATTCAAAAGGCATCCATATGAGCAACCACAACATCTGTGCTGATCTGTGTGTGTGTGTGTGTGTGCGCCTGCAGTCTAAATGAACAATTATAAATATAGTTCTGTATAACTTTAACATAAATTGTTAATTGAAACATACCACTTTTTTCAGCAAACTGTGAAATTGAGTATGTTACTGTGAATAGTGGCATAATAATGCTACAGGATTTTTTTACCCAAAAAGAAGTGAGAAATTGCTGTCCTATTTGGGAAATATTGCATTACAAAGCTACCCCCCTAGCTGCATTGATAAGCCTTGGTTCTAGCTTGCAGCTGCAACCTAGCCAGTAAAGTAGAGTATTTAATTCCATAGATGCTACGCTTACTCACTGAATATGAACTTATTATTTTCTTTGCAAAATTAACGATGAAGCTTATAAAACAAAGATACCAAATCCTTTTATAACTTGAAGACAAGATGGCTATGTTTTGTACACAGACATTTATTTTCAGCATTGCTCTGAACAGGAACTGATGTAGATTTGAAATAAAAATGAGGTTTATTTTTAAGAAAGGAAATGCAGCATTTATATTAATCATCTTTGTTTCTCAAGTGATTTTAACAGTAATAGAACACTCCATACAAATAACATACAGTGTATTGCAATATTGCAATGATAATTTTTTTTTTTAATGTGTGAAGATATTAGGTGATTTTATAAATATGGCATGCAAATATTATCATTACCTCTGAAATTATAGGAAAATAATGAAATATTGGTTCTGGCTCCTGTCAACATGATCTGTCTGTTTGTTTTTAATGTCTACAGAACAGAAATAAGAATGCATTGCTCTAGTTACTCTATACTTAAAAAAAAAAAATCCTTCAGATCTGTTTGATTTATAATAATTCTTGATTTGATGAAAAGTGCTATACCCTGAGATACCACCCAGAAAATGAGGCAGCAAGAAAAAATCTACAAAATCAGTTCTGTCACTAGCAATCCACTGCTGGATTTCTGTCTATTGCTTTCTCAGGGATAATAAAAACAGTTAATTGCTTTGCTCTTTGCAGCAAATTCACGAATGTTTGAAGGCTGCTCGTCACATCTTGCTTGAGTAATTTTCTTCAAAGTAGTCTGTAGCTTTTGTTTCTTTCCTCCTAGAATGTCACTGTTACTGTTCTCTGGACTTTCTCCAGTTATGTATTTTTAATAATAAAAGTTATTAAAGTATTGAATGTTAAAGGATTTGGCTCAGATTTAGTATTTGATACATCCCTCAGGCCTCAATAATTAATAACTATTACTTAGTGACTGTAAACAACATGTACTCTCCTGCCGCAGTTTTATTCAGATCATCTTTAATGAATGTCAGGAGCTTTGCCTAGGTTGAAATAGATAACATCCCTTATAATGGAGGCTGAAGTGAAAACACTTTTAGCACTTCAGTTTATCTCTGTGTCACATCAGAAAGCTTTCCTCTCTCAGGACTGCTTTGTCCCTCAGTCTCTTCCTCTTCCTCCTCTTCGTCCTCCTCCTCCTCTTCCCTGATTGGCTTCCGCCTGCCCCTTATCAGCCTTACCTCATTCTGCAAGTTGGCCTTTCTGATTTTGTCTCTGCGTACTTGCACTGTTCTCTAATATTCTTCCTTTAGTAATTTGACCTACTTTCTACTTGCGTATACTTCCTTCTAGTGTTTCAGGATCATTGAAGATCTCTCAATTTAGTCAAGTTTGTCTTGTGATACTGTTTTTCCCTTCACATTGGGATGAACTGTGTGTGTTTACGCCCTTCATATTATTTCTTTATGAAAATAGATCACCCTTTCTGGAATTTATAATCAAATAAAATCCAGTAGAG